AATGAAGAAAAAAAGTAAAAATAAAAAAAAATTAAATTAAAAAATAATAATCAAAAAATAAAAATAATAAAACATACAAATGCTCAAAAATACATACAAACATTCAAAATACATAATTGTGCATTTAATTTGATTTTTTATTGCAACTCACACGAGTTTCGAACTGCCTTAAGTGCACTGTTTATTGTTATTGGCTTATAAAAAAAATAATAGCAAAAGCATAATTCAAAATTCTCAAAACATAACTCGTGCAATCAAATCAAATGCAACAACAAAAGCTGCTCAATTATTGTGAGAGCAGAAGAAGAAGAAGCATGAACAAAATTGCGTTCAAAATTGAATTTATTGGATTTTTTCGTTTGTAATTAAAAGTAATAAACGCCAGTTATGTATATGCCCAGGCACACACACGCACACATCCATTCGCCAGCGTTTGGGTGTGTTCAACACAACGGCTTACAGTGTTAAGGTCAAGGTCGCTTGTAATGTGCAATTAAATGCGTTTCGCTTATTCATTTATGCGCAGCAAGCGATTACATTACATTACGAATGTTGTTGTTGTGCATTACTTCAATACATTACTTTTTTGCTATTGTTCATAAGTGTTTGTGGAAAATTAAAAGCCAACAAAAGATGTGGGAAATATAGTATAACAAGCAAACGACAGGTGTAAATACCGAATTATAAATATATATGCAGACATACATATGTATGTATAAATACATACAAACACTTGTCATGTACATATACATATAGACATAAGTAAAGAAATAATTAAAGCCAGTAAAAATATAGCAGCTTTTTCGCTTAGAGCCAAACAAAGTGTGTCTTTTCGAAGCACAGAAACACAAACTGTTAGCTGTCAGTGGAGCTGCATATACATACATATATACATATGTATGTACCTGTATATAGCCATATGTATTGTAATTGCCTTACAATTGTTTGCTAGTAAGTAATATTTGCTTTGCGGCTTAACCTTCGTTGAGGTTTCGTTTTCACATAGCGCTACGGCTCAGCTGTCTGCCTCGCTAGCTGGCGACCACACACACACACACACACACACATATGTGGCTGCTCAAGCGCGCTGCCATTGTCTATCAAGTGTTATACAGAGATAATAGCAAATAGAAACAAAAATAGTGTAAGTGAGTAAGGCTTGTAAAGCAAAGCTTTTCAATGCTGTAAAATGAGTGTTTGCAGGCGTCACTGTGTTGTGGGAAAAAGTAGTCGCGTTACAGTTTCGGAGCGTGGTTTTTATTAACGACCGACAGACAGACACCAATAAATACATACATATGTTAATTTTTATTTAATAACTTGCTTGGGAGTTCAAACAGTTTTCAGGCAAGCATGTGTGTATGCATATACTTGTAAAGGTTAATAGCTACGCTTCTCTAATAACAAATTAATGGGAAGTATTTGTTTTATTTGTGGCTGTTTGTTGGAAAGTGGGTGGGTCTAACATTGGAGTGGGAAATATGTAAATAAATGTTGTTGGAGAGGAAACAAAAAATTAGCAAATCATTTAAATCGAATTTATAACCAAATACTATGGCTAATTTTGAAAAAAAAAAAATTTAAATACATTAAAAATTAAATGAAATTAAACTAAAATTTTCGAAAATATGTGTTAATTTAGTTTTAAAAAATTTCAAATTAAATATCGAAAAAAACTTTCGATTTAATTTAAAAAAATCAGACTAAAATTTCAAATAACATTTTCACAAA